ATGATAGGAACACAAAATATGGAAGAAAAAGGATGTAGCACAATGAGACAGGGCAGGAAGAGGCCAGTGTGCAGGAGGAGGAGGCGAGGGACTGTTCCCACTTCCAGGCAGCTGGAAAACGAGGAGCAGAAGTGGCGTGGTGACAGGTGGTTTAGATTCATGGGCCACCTGGGACCTTGCAATTCTCCTTCTAGATGGAGGAGGAGAGCAGGTAAAACAGGTTGCATACTGATTTCCAAGAGTTTAAGGGCATCTTAATGAGTTTTTATGATATCACAGTAAGAAACCCAAGAACAGGAATCCACCCTATTGTCACCCCTACCATACAAGGTTCCCAAGCCTGCTACATGCAAGGACTTAGCCAAGTGGAAACCTAGGTGCCTTTTCATCAAGAGATGTATGGACACCTACTAATCCTCAGTGCAGAGACGCCTTCAGGGATGGACAGAAGGAATGAAGCTTCAATCTGAGGATGGTGGAGGGCTGTTTATCCCTCTCCTGCACTTACATGACTCCAGGAATGAGTAGTACCTGTATTTTGTACCCTACATCCTCATCACACCCTAGTCCTGTCCTTGGCCAGCATTTTAACCTAGACAGTCTGTCTTCAGAGCTCAGGCTCTTACCCACTGTAATAGAACAGTGGCCACAGGTGGTATGTATAGTTTGGAGGGAAGGGGTGCAAGAGTAGGGCAGAGGTGCTAGAAGGAAGCCCAACCTCATTTCCTGAAGAGGCAGCAGGCTCTGGGGCACTGCTCACTCCTGCCCCATAAGGGAAGGAGGGCTTCCTTGGCTCTGAGCTGGTTCTCCAACCATCACCCCCATCACTCAGCCCCCACCTTTTACCACTCCTGCTTCCTTCATGTGTTGTGGTAACTAAGTCCTGATCACGGTTCCCTCCTTGTAGTCCTAAGGATTGGTGGGTGTGTCCTGCTGTAGGTTCTGGATATCCTGTGCTCCCTGTGTCTGTGCAATGGGGTTGCAGTGAGAGCCAACCAGAACCTGATCTGTGACAACCTGCTGCCCCAGAGAAACCTGCTCCTGCAGACACGACTGATTAACGATGTGACTAGGTAAGGCCACCACCGTCATTTCAAATGCCAAGCATGGTTCTGCCCATCTTGCCTGCAGGCAGGAAAGAAATGGCTGATCTGAACTCCGAAATCAGCCACCCATAGTTTCCATGGCAATGCAAGCACGTAAGACGAGACCCAGCAAATGTGTACTTTTCATGACTGGAGACTGTACTCCAGCCCCTTTAACAGAGATTCCGACTTTTCCCTTGAAGTGGCTGATGATGGAGTATATGTACCATTTGTAGGCTGAAGAAATTGGCTTGAAGTGGCTTACCATGTTTTATTTTAAACATTACTGCAGATCTTAAAACTTCTTCATTGTATATTTTTATTTTCATATGCCAGCTTTTTTTTTTTCCCTGAAATCTTCTAACAGAATGAATGTCCCAAGTTGGTTCTGTGGTTTTGTGTATCCTCTGGCACATGGCCACTTAGCCCAGAGCTGTATGTGAGGGCCAGATGAAGAACATGGACCCATGCAGGACCCCGAGCCTGCTGGCCCATACATGTGGTCACGTGTGAATCACAAGAACTCACCGTTCCAGGACGAGGCAGGCCTAAGGTTCTTTAGCTACCTTCTCCCTAGGCCTACACTCTCATCCACAACAGGAAAAGCATACCTTCCCTCTGCAGTGTAGAGTGGCCCACAGACCTGAGCTGTCACACAGACTTCCTTTCTTCGTGGTGCCAACCTTGTTTTTCCTTGCCCACCGAAAATAGGACATAGCCCCAGCCCAGGAACAGTGCATCTCTAAGAGTATGATTCCAGTCATAAAAGCTCTGAGTGGTTTGTCCCAAGTTTTTAACCACTTTGCTGGACACATTAAAACCTCCTGCCCATAACACGGCTGCCTGATAGTGAATTCTTAACGCTTTTAAGAGGCCATTGTTATTAATAATACTTAGGTGACAAAGCTGCTGTCACAAAAAGGAGGGCGCTTAAACCAATTTACCAGAAAGTGGAACTAGAGTAAGTAATTTCTTTCACTTACAGAAAGAAACAGAGGTTTGTAATCATACAACTCTGTATAACATTTTCGGCATTGTTGCCCATGGCTGGCACTCAGTAAACGTTGGTTGCCCTGAATGGGATATTAAAAGAGACACCCTTTATGTTTTATAATGGGATTAATATTGTCCTGATGCCCCCCACTGAGAACCTGATCAAGGCTCTAGGCTTTCTCTACTTTGAACAATGCAGAAAACATACAATTGCTCCTGCCCTGGTGTAGCTGGGCCAGTGCCTCCTATGGTCTGGTTCAACTTGCTTTCTCAGTTCTCACAAGTGTCTAGCTGCCACCTGTCCCATGTCCCATGTTTAATTTCAGTGTCCGGCCAAACATCTTCCTGGGAGTCGCTGAGGGCTCAGCGCAGTATAAGAAGTGGTACTTCGAGCTCATTATCGACCAGGTGGACCCCTTCCTAACAGCGGAGCCCACACACCTGCGGGTGGGCTGGGCCTCCTCCTCAGGCTATGCCCCGTACCCAGGAGGTGGAGAAGGATGGGGAGGTAATGGTGTTGGCGATGACCTGTACTCCTACGGCTTTGACGGACTCCACCTTTGGTCAGGTGAGTACCTTGCCAAAGCTTCGGCCCCTAATCTCTCACTGGAAATGATTGAGGCTCAGATTATTCAATCTGAAATTGTCCCTTTCAGTTGAAATGATACAGAGTCTCAGCTAATTAGATGGTTAGGTAGGATGAGCATCAGATTTAAATGAGAGTCACTTAAACCATGACTCTGATACTTCCTGGCCACATGGTCAGTGCAGATCACCTAACTTTTCTCAACCTCAGTGTCTGTATCTAATCCTTGTTGTATAAGATTGTTAGGACTTTATAAGAAGGAAGGAGAGACTCAGTGTTTATTTACTAGGCAGTGGGCTACATATTTTTTGTACATTTTTCTCTCATATTATCCTCACAGTGACCCCTTAAGGTAGAAAATATTGACCTCATATTACAGATGTGGAAATACAAAAATGTTTAAGTAATTTATTCTCAATCACACATGCAAGGATCCAGATCTGACTATGAGTTCATAATCTTGTCAACATAGACTGCTGTTCCATGATACAGTTTATAAATGTCTGGGATGGTTCCTGAGACATAACAGGTATCAATTTCTTTAAAAGAATTCAAGGCTGCCTTTCTTTTTTTTTTTTAGATAAATGTTGATGCTTTACCGATCATGTCCGTGGCCCGTGCTGTGGAGGAGTGGGTTGGTTCTGCTGGGGTGAAAATGCAAGACTAACTCTCAGGCTTTCACCCAAAATGAGTTGCACCCCTGCTGTCTATCGTCCCAATCATGTCTTTTCCGTATCTTTTGCAAAACTGCAATTGGAGACATTGTGTCCCTTATAGAAATCCCTTATGTAAGCATTGTGCTGCATGTCTCTTACGTAAGCAACAATGACACACATTCTTCTTTAACTCCATTACAAGGGAAAAGTTTGTTTCTATAAGACGAAGTTATATATTTTCTTTTGCTACTACATGACCCGTCACATTTTCCTTCTTCCTTACGCTTTGAGACTAACACATGATTGTCTGATGTAACGATTAAGTCAGCTCAGGTCCTGATGACATGCCTCTTGCAGGAGGTCTTTATTTTCAATTGGTCAATATGGGGTTTTCAAAAAATTGTTTGTGCTGTTTTACATTCAGTTTAAACATTATTTAAACTTTTAGAAATAATGTAAAATTACTTATATACTTACTCATTTTGGATCATCTGGGGAAAGTCCTTGTTTATGTTCTGTGTGTCCCAGGGGACACTGTGGCACAGACAAAAGCAGATGCAAAACAGCAGGATGGTGGGTTGGGTGAAGTGAAAGTCTTCTCGTGCTGTTCTCTATCTCCCCACTGAACCTCCCCAAATTCAGCATGAAAGGTGGATCTTCCTTCTTGGTTCTCATGGTCCCATCGTGGAGCCACCAAGTCTGGCTATGTCGTAGCCTTTACCTTCGCTTATCATCAGATGACAGCGGTCCTCAGAAAGATGTCTCTGGGGAAGGGATTTGGAAAGAAACAGTCCTTATGCTCACCCACATCTGCAGCTCTTGAGTCTGTAGGACTAAACCTGTGAGAGAATGAAGGGGATTGACTCGTGAAAATCATTTCCCCGCTGCCTGCTGGCTGCTGCTCACCTCTGCCATCTCGTCACCAAACCTGGGAGTGCTCTCTGGAACCCAGGTTACACCTAGATAGGAGTCTGCATGGAACTCGGTCAAGGATATGAAGTACACCTAGACCCTTAGGTGAAGCAAATTGGACTCTTGTTTCAAAGAGAAACTAATTATTCTCAAAGGAAAAAAATGATTTAGTCCTTTCCAGACTACAGCACTGCATGGGGCACTTGCTGTATCCCCGTATGCCTTTGTAGACGTTTAAGGAATGAACACATCAGTGAGTCAGAGGCTGAGAACGCACTCATGGTGTGTCCATAAAGAGCTTCTATCTGTGCATTTCATGACCTGAGCGTCCTATCTAATTGTGTATCATTCCAGGAGTGTACAGTGCACAGGCCTCCCCCTCATCCCTCCTGTCCTGTGTCCTCTGAAGGTAAGGAAGCTGGATGCTCCGGGCACATACCAGTCATCACTAGCAATGGTTTCTGTGATTGGATAAGGGGGAAGAGGGCTAGTGACTCAGCTTTTCAAGGAATGATTGTGGCTCTCTGAACATTACCCACACTTGGTAATATAATACCATACAGGTACATTCAAAGGACTTCATCCCTCAGTCTCTAGTGTCTGATAATATGTGGAGTGTAGCTACTGTCTACAAGATTTACACCTTTCATTCTCACTAAAACCCACAGCTTCCTTGGGTTTGGCATCATTCTCACTTCTCTACCAGCACATAAGGAACATATATCTTACAGAAGGTAGGTAGATAAGTCAGCATGTGCTCCAGCTGAAAAAACAAGGGCTCTGTTAATGACTCCTACCAGGATGGCATGCATTTCAGACTACCTGATGGAGAACTGAGATGCAATAACACTCCAACTTGTCACAGGAGTGACTGGAGGATGGTTAGGGTGAGATACTGGAAGCTGGTCATGATGATTTTACTCCTCTTCCTTGAAATGCCTTTAAATGCCCAGGTCCATTAAGTTTAAAATTATCAGTGTTAGAGCTACCATATGATCCAGCAATCCCACTACTGGGTATATGTCCAAAGGACCGGAAATCATCATGAAGGGATACCTGCACTCCCATGTTCATTGCAGCTCTATTTACAATAGGCAAAATATGGAACCAACCTAAGCATCCATCAGCAGATGACTGGATAAAGAAAATGTGCTATATATGCACAATGGAATACTACTCAGCCATGAAAACAAATGAAATTCCACCATTTGCAGCAACATGGATGAGCCTGGAGAAAATTGTGTTAAGCAAAACAAGCCAGACAAAGAAACAGAAATACCGCATGTTCTCACTCATAACTGGTTGCCCGGAAGGAAGGAAGGGAAGGAGGGGGGAAGGAGAGGGGGAAGGAAGAAGGAAGGAATGAAGGAAAGAAAGAAAGAAAAGACCACAGCAATACGTTGAACTTTCAGAAGGAGAGAACAAACCTAAGGATACTAGAGATGGGGGGAGGGAGGAGGGGATTTGGGAAGTGATAGGTCAGGCAAAGGGCATAAAGAAATACGATTTGTAAGAACATGCTAATAATAAAGTTTTTTAAAAAAGACTTTGGTGTCTTTTCTTCCAGATGGTTTCCTATGTCTGACGTGTATAATTATGGAAATAAATATGCACACTTAACATAGAAAAAATTATCCATGTGCATATATTAAGCCACTGCCTTGAACTGGTCTTTAACATTCTTTTTAAAGTAGAATAGATGTTGCAGTAGTTGGAAAGAATTTCAGTGCCCCTAACACTTTGTCAGTGGAGTAAAGAAAAACAGCATGGCTTTGGAGTTACACCTGGGTTTGAATCCTGGCTCTGCCGCTTACTGGTTTTTTGACATTGGGCAAATTGTATAATTGCCTCGGGTAAGATGAAGATAATATAAGGCTCTTGTGAAATTTAAATGAGATAAGAAGTATGAAGTCCCTGACACACACTAAATACACAGGGAAAATGATTTCCCTTCCCTCATTGTCTGTGAAATCCTCTGTGGTTGTAAAGACCAAATCCAGAGTCCCAGGCACTTCACTCAAGACTACGAGAGTAGCCCAGTCAGAGCCTCCCCATAATACCAAAGGGGACAGAGAACCCAGGTCCCATGCTGAATGGGAAAAAAAGTTTCAAAGTGACATCCTGGGAGTATGAATGAGCTTTTCTTCTCTGTTTAGGGAGGAGGGTATATTTAATAGATCTTTTTACCTATGGAAGTCATTTTCAGGCGTGAGCTGTGGAAACGTCCCCTCCTCAGCCCTGCCTAGCTCTTCCTACAGAATCCTGCGTCAGGTCAGTCACAGTGATTTTCCTTTTGGAGAAATGGCTCTCTTTTTTTGCAATGGCATCATTTTCCCTCTCCAGACGTAGCCTCCAAGGAAATAATACCTCCACTTTCTTTTTTTTTTTTTTTTCTTTTTTTGTCTTTTTTACTGACCAGTAACGCGATCGCAACCCTCAGTGTCGCGCCCGTACCAGGGACCGGCAACGGGATGGCAATCCTCGGTTTTGCGCCCGTACCACGCTCAGCCAGTGAGCGGGAACCGGTCTCCATATGGGATCCGAACCCTCGGTGGGAGCGCCGCCGCACTCCCAAGCGGTGCACTCTCCAGCGTACCACCGGGCCGGCCCCACTTTCTTTATAACCACTTTTACTCCTGCAGAATTGGAAAAAGCAGAGGAATTGACCATCCCAAGAAATGAGTGATACAGAAGTGAATGAATGGAGGAAAACTGTGTTTCCTGATTTATTAAGACTACTGACTCATCAAGATAATTTAGCCCTGCAGTCATATTTGCACAAGGGGACTTTACCTATATCCTTACAAGGATGAGTCCCAGAGTACTGGTTCGTCTCTCAAAACACACCCCACTGTGACTCAAACCTTTCTAAACCCAGTGCAGTGTGGAGAAGATCCAAGGAGTAGCTGTGGAACAGCAGCATTTTTATGTCTTTGGGTCCTCTCTCATTCTAAATGCCTAAATATTTGTATTTATATTATATTACGTGTTTATACCAAACTCTTTAGTGCCTGGGTCTGTGGAAATGCTGAGCATCGCTATTTCCAGTTGCCTACATTACTGATCAGAAGAGGCTAAATCCTGCAGTAAAATATCCTTATGTTGTTTGAAGATGTGCCACATATGATTAAGTGGCCTTTATCTTAAAATGCAGGGTTTGGAATGGGCATTCTGAGCTTCCTGGGCCCTTCACATGGGCCGGAGCCTCTAAATCAGGAGACTTTTTTCTTCGGATTTGCAGAGGCAACAAGACTTCCAAAAGAGTTGAGGCTTAAAAAGATCTTGAAAAGCAGTTGAGGCTGCTTGTAGAAAAACTCTCTGAAACAAGTTTGCTTTTTTATCCAACAGCATCACATTTCTGTTGATTGTTCTAAAACGGTCACATATATTAAACACATTTGAAAGCATATATTTTTGAGCACTGTCTTTCAGAAAAGGGAGTAGATTTTAAATCACTTTTTGGACTCAGCCCTCAATGCTACAATTTTCCATATTATTTTTTCCTAATATTACAAAAGGTGTAGTATTCCTACCATGATCTGGTAAGCTTTTCTAATATTAGCATGATAATGAAGGTTTCTGGAGTTACAAAACCAAAAGCAGTAATAAAAGCATTTGCTGTGGGTTGCAGTGTGTCAGGTACTCTTCTCGTCACTCTATGAGACAATTCATTCAAAACTCACAGCAACCCTAGGAGAGAGAATATTATTATTCCCATTTGACAGGTAGGAAACTTGAGTGCACAAAGGTACATTACTCATCTGACGTCACGCAGTTAGTAAATGGCAGAGCCAAGACTCAAGCCAGACAGTCTAGTTCTAGAAACTGCTTAACTGCTGCACTGCACTGCCTCTTGAGTGGTGTGCAGGACATCAGTTATTTGTTTCATCAAAATCAGAGGAATAGTAATGGTACCTTACAAACAGTTCTCTTCACAACATCATTGTGATCAACTCATTTTATAGATGGGGAAGCTGAGCCTCTGGCAAAATCACAGGCCCACATTCATGTAGCAGGCAGAAAGCTGATTTCAACTCAGCCCTGCATGATTCTAAGGCACCTCCCATCCTCCTGTGCCACTCATAATAGAGCAATTGGAAGGATCTGCATCTTATTTAAATGTGGGGTGCAGGACACTTTTGAATCATTTGGAGCCTTGCAAGTCTTCACAGGGGTGGAGATTGCTTTCTCCAGACGGGGACAGATTTACAAAACTGCACAAAAGCAATCCTACAATTCCATCATCTTCCAGTTTCAAACTTCACACTATTCACATTTAAAAATGAAATATACTTATCAGATGACCTTATGCAACTTGAATATTATATGAAATGAGCTCTTTTATTCAAATAGGCCGCCTATTACGTGCTTCCCATCCAATGATTTTCAACAGTCTCCCTTTAGTTTTTAGATAATATTAGCCCTAACTCTGTGTTCTCTATTGTATGTGCTTTAAAAATAGGCTCAGCTTATGATTTCAATTTGCCTGTATGTGATCTTAGCAAGTGCTCCAAAGGAAACTTCTACCTGGAACCCAGTCTCTTAGAAGGAGGGCAGTAAAAGGTGGTGTCATTCACCATGAGAGTGTAATTGCTTGTCCTGGTTGTTGTCTTCGATAGAGAGAGCAAGCCAGGCAGGAGAACTTACCCCAGCCATCCTTCCTCTGGAAGGCACTTGACAGCTATGGTGCGGTGAAGGCTAAATAAAGCTGAGAACCCAGCTTCTGATGGCATCAAAGCATGGCTGTGGGTGAAGACCATCCCCCATGAAAGCTGCTCTTAGTGGCCAAGGCTCAGGTCAGCATGGAAGCCAGCAGAGAACTTAGAGAGGATGCTGGAGTCACAGTTCAACACTGGCAGTCTTGTCCTAGTTTATATGACTCTCAGAAGGGTAAAGAACCTTACAATTTGTATTTTGTCTAGCAAGGATCTGGATACTTTTAAAGGTAGCTGTACAACATAGCATTTTGACTATTTCCTGGTATTCTCAAATTCACAGAAGTCTGTTAGGATTTGTTCAAGTGACTACAGTGATATTTTCTGGAAGTTAAACTAATGAGAAAAAAGAAACGTTTTATGCAGGAAAGATTATTTTTTTAATGGGAAAATATGAAATCTTGAGATTTGACACAATTTTAGGATACTTTGCTGAGTTTTGGTATCATAGATTCCTTTCACAACAGACTTGAACAGAAGGAAAAAGATTCTGGGACTTGTGATATCTGAACATCATACAATGAGCTAGGAGAACTAAGTCTTCTCAGATGGAGAAATTTGAAAGATGTCAAATGTACACACTCTTCAAGTTTGGCTCAGTTTTGTTTTTTTAAATAATTTTGACTACAATAAGGAACTTGTTTGTGATTCTCAGTAGTGAAACAAGGTATTAAAGTTACAAAAACAGAGTCTAAGGCCACCACAGGCTAATTTGCCAATATGCATTGTGTACTATGTGTGCAGTACACTCTTGCCGTGCAGGTGGTCACATTCCTGTCTAGCATTAGTGCATTTCTGTTGCTTATAAATACCTGAAAATGGGGGATTTATAAAGAAAACAAAATTTATTGCTTACAGTTTCTAAGGCTGGGAAGTCCAAAGTCCAGGGAACACACCTGGTGAAGGTCTTGGTCGTGGCAACAGTGACCCAGGAGCCTCACATAGCAGAAATGGTGGAGCAGAGAGACAGACTCTCACATGCTCTCCTTTTAAAACTCTCAGAACCACACCCATGACCACCATTATTAATCATTCATTAGCCATGGTCCTACAACCTAATCAACTCTTCAAGGCCCCACCTTTGAATTACCATAATAGGATTTTCTACCCTCAACAGTTACAATGGGGATTAAGCTTCAGTGACTTAAAACTTGGGGAAACAATTCAGTCTGCATCCCTGCACCACCACATCTCCCTCTCAGCCTTCATCAGTCCCCACATTCCAGTCTCACTCTAGCCATTCTGCAAATATGTCATACAGTCTTTTGCTCTTTTCTCTTTCATTTATATAGTGACCCTTTCATTCTCCACGTCTCTACTTGGCCCATGCTCCCAGGCAGACCTGGCACCTTCCTCTACCTCTGGAAGGCAACACATGTACACCTTCATTCTGACATTTCTCATACTGTATTGTGATTTTTTATTTGAATGTCCATTTTCCACCAGACTGTGGACTTCTTAGGGCAGGGACTGAGTCTTCTGTCTTTGGTCCCCAGCCTCAGGCATAGTACAGACACTATGCTCTGTAGCACAGAGTAGAGCCTCATTGCTGTTTGTGGAAGGGTGGGAAGGAATGCATTAAGGCTTTGTCAGTCACCCAAAAAAGTTAAAGGAGGACACCTAATAATTTTTTAATTAAAGAGAGTACAGTAATTTCACTATTTTAAAATCCACCACTTAGTGTAGAATCTATTACTAGAATAACAATAACCATTGAAAACATTAAATAGCTCCAAACTGAGATTAGAAATATTACCTACCAAAAGCATGTACAAAATTCATAATAACTCACATATCCATTAGGAGGGGATTTTTTAAAATTACTTTTTCATGGCATATTATGAAGCCATTAAAACCCAGTTTCTAATGAATATTATGCAGTAAAATGTTTATGATATTAGTAGAAAAACAAGCTACAAACCTACAATATCTGAGTTTGTTTTTATGGAGTTCTATTTTGTCTTTTTTATTCTTTTCTATATAAATTATGAACACTTATAATGAACATGTATTACTTCTGTAATCAAAAACAAGATGTCATTTCATCTTTTGCCTGAAACCCTATGTGAACACCTAACTTCTGCCATTTGTTGCTCTCTTCCCAGTAGAAAAATAAATCTGATAGAGGAATGGGTGAGATGGTTATGATCATTTACTTTGAGAATTTCCAGAATAGGATGATGTGAGATAGAAAAATGGAGATATGATTTTCTCACTACTTTAAGTTGGGAAATGTTAAATCACCTTATGAAAGAGGTCAAAAGTGTTTTTCTAAAATCAACAATATATAGTAAAACTGACATTGTTTTTCCATGTTTATGTGAAATAATAAAGTTTTTTAAAACAAACAGGCAAACTTTGCTGCACAATTTAATGGTGTGATGGCCTTGCCACTCTTCACTTTGATGGCTTCTGAATCAGGTACTAGAGTGGCCGTATCTTTTCAAGAAAAGAGAAGAAAGCCAGGTCTTCGGGCACCTGTGACTAAGCAGACACACAGGGCCTACACCCAGCAAAGTAGTCTGTCTGTTACTTCAGACATCAAGCCAGAGTCTGAGCACACGTTGAACAGGTTGAGTTCTTAGTTCTCATTCTTTGCCGCTCGAGAGTTTCCCCTAAGACTCATCTCAGGCCAGGTGTCTGCTCACTTGCCAGCCTAGGAAATCATTTCTCATGCTCATCTCACCCAGGGAAGCAAAGTCACATTTCAAATGCAGTGGCATATTCAGACCTTCTGTGTTCCTGTCATGCCTGTCCACCTCCCACTGGTGGCCTCTGAGCATTTCCTCCAGCCAGGTAAGTGCCTCCGAGTCCCACAGCCCTCCTGTCCTTTACTCACCAGGCCGGATACCCAGAGCTGTGGCCTCCATCCACCAGCACCTCCTGAAATCAGATGACGTGGTGAGCTGCTGCCTCGACCTCGGGGTACCCAGCATCTCTTTCCGCATCAATGGGCAGCCTGTGCAAGGGATGTTTGAGAACTTCAACACAGATGGGCTCTTCTTCCCTGTGCTGAGCTTTTCAGCAGGTGTCAAGTAAGTTATGGCTGTGATTTCATGGAGGGTGGTCATCACCCCACTTCCCCGCCACCTATGTGAGCTGAGGAGCTTGTGATCTCCTTCAGGACTTCGGCATCATGAGTCACACTCCCCCAAGAAAGTGATGGTAAAAGGGTGAGAGCCAACCAGGGTCACTCACTTCACATGTACTTGTTGAACACGTGCCTCCCTCCAGCTGTGTTATGTACTCAGGTAAATAGGAAGATAAATAAGACAAATCCTGTGTAGAAAATTACTTTAATAATCTTAAAAGGGTTACACACTCATTATAAAAAAGTTGAAAGACATAGTTATCAATAAAACAATGAAAATCACCTAAGATTCCAATGTTTAGCTACAAATATGTGTATATTTTCTTAATTGGCACCATGCTGAGAATAAAGTGTTATGTCTTGATAATTTTTCATTGAACAATAAGTAATGAACCATTCCCTGAGTTATTAAGTATCCTCAAAACAATTTTATGGTCATACTAAATCCCTTTATTTGGCTCTCCCACAATATAGCCATTACTTTGTTATACAGTACTTTCGTGCCAATTGCATTTTCATTGTTATAAATAAAATTATTATGACCATCCTTGAGCATAACTATTTTTCTGCATCTTCATTTTAGTCTACCTGGAAGTAGGTCAAAGAGTATGAACTTTTTAAAGTCTAAATTTATAATTACATGGCCAAATTGATTTTCAGGAAGATTGTATGAACAGTTCAGAATTCCTTATCAATAATTGCAAAGTCTAAGAAGCTCTGAACACCATAAATTTGTCCATAACTCATTATGCAGCAAAATCCAACTGGAACTAATTTGCAGCAAAACTGTCAACAGAAATGAGGCTATTTTTAGTATTTCATTTATTCCACTTCTTGTGTATATTTGTATGTTTAAATGCAGAAATATTAATGTGTTTGATTGTGGGTTACTGCCCCTCACCTGGCTGGAGGTTCTGTTTGACATACACTGCATGTATCCTTTTCCTCTTTCGAACTCTAAAAACTTCCAAAGTCTGAAGCACATCTCCAGAGATTTCAGATAAAGGATTTGGGCCTGTATTATTTTTTAAAGCAACATGTGTGAATGCCCAATTGATTGGAGACTCATTAACTGTTACTGTTATTGGTTATTTTTAATTTTTTCCAACTTGAGAAAATTGTATCTTAGATTCTTAATTTTTAATTTTTTTGATGACCAATGTGATAAAGTATTTTGATGCTGATTATTCTTACGTATTTTTTCAGTCCAATATATTTGCTAATTTTGTGTTTTCAGCCTTTCTGATATTAACATTTTTGGACAATTTTTTATATATAAGGCTGTTTTCTTATTGGTTTCAAGTATTTCTCCCAGTTTGTGATTTACCTTTTTATATTAAGTTTTTTTCCTATTGTCTTTTGTTTTTCCCTTTCACCAAAGTAATATGACAAAGAAACACCAACAACCTATAATAATCCCACCCAGAGATAACCCCACTACCTTTTCGTGTGCACATTTATATATTTTACATTAAACTGCGCTTGTCCTGTGCATGCTGGTTTTCTACATACTGTTGCTCACTATTGTGTTTATTGCTCTGCATCTCTTTCCTTGTACCAGTTGGATGCTCTTTTTAATTATCTTAGCCTTATTATACATATTAATGTCTATAAGGCAAGACTCCTTATTATACATATTAATGTCTGTAAGGCAGGACAAAAACCTTTTTTCCCCTAAATTTTCTCAGCCATTCTCCATCCCTGTATTTTAAAAAGATCACAATATATTGAGCAGGAGACAAGTCACCATGGTCAGGATTATGCTAGTGTCCGTGGAGGCTTTGGAAAGGGCCATAAAAGTAAGAGAGTTGAGGAGAGAGAGAGCTCAGAGCCAGGGCCACAAAGAAATATTGTGGAGCTCCTACCGTCCAAGCGATGGATTTTTAGAGTGAAACCACTGTTGTAGACCTCAGCACCTCATATGGATTGATAAGCCATGACATGTTTATATATTTATCAAAAGGGGATAAAAATTTGGTTCTGTTTCAATTAATATACTGTTTAGGAACAAAAAAACTATCATTTAGAATTTGAGACAGAAGTGTGTGTATGTATATATACACGTGCATCTTTACAATCATACTTATGTAAATGGATATAATATATTGAAATTAAGCATTAATATTATAAGGTTCTTGTAACAAATGGAGAACCACTATAGTAAAGCTTTACTAGGATTGATAATCTACTCACAGATTCAAGCCAGAGAATCTTACATCAGCCTGACACTATAAAGAGTTGAGAGTTCTTTACCTTTGTTTCTCTGTGCTGAGGATATTTCATCCCAATTCTTTCTTTTTAAATTGATCTAACATATTGATATCCTCATTGGTATCCATAAGGAGCATGTAGAAAACAGGGGTGTTATTGAAAGACAGGCACTGTAAGCACAGAGAAAATGGATTGTAGCAAAGGCCCTCTGGCAGTCGGGAAGCCAGGATAAGCCCCCTCATATATCTTCCCCACTCCATTCCGCAGGAATAAAGAGAATGAGTAGACATCTAAGTACAACATAACAGCATTGAGGCACCACCCTTTGACTCAGTGCCTTCTCTGGAGAAACAAAGTCACTCTGAGCAGTCACTTCCCAGGACCGCATTTGTCTGGGTAGTCGATGGCCTCGGCCGCCCATCATTAGTGTTATTCCCATTTTTATTTGTTTTGACCACCTCCACTCACTGGTTTTTACTCACTTCCAGAGAGAATACACCTATTTCCCAAGCATGTCATCTGGGAAAGCCACTTCGGTGAAGTCATACCTTTGGAGAAGGGGTCTTCTCCTACTGGCTAATGGACTTTTCCATGTATTTCGTTCTCGTGTGTTGCATGATGATTTTTAGTCATCTGCTTATCCTTCCAGTTTCCTTCAGGGCAATGAGATAGGATTTTTGTATCTGTAATTTGGGGAGGGGGTAAGGACTTTTTTGAAATCCTCTCTTGACAAAGAACTACAGCTAGTAAGTAAAGAAATATGTGACTGAAAGGTATCCACATGGAGAAGACATTTCTAGCACCTTGTGTCTAGGGCAGCAGATCAGGCAGCATTCTAAGTGCATATATAAAAGAGAAGCAAAGTAACAAGATAAGAAAAATGAGATGTCTGACCATTTTAGGGCACAACTGCTGCGAGTATTTAAGAAACCAAAGGGTCCAGATGTGTTGATTTGAAGAGTCAACAGCTTAGATCTGATCACTTTTTGCTTGTGGCGGCTGAACAGCTGGTATGCTAAAGATCAGTGCCAGGGGCCTTGCTATCACTCAAACCTCCTGTGTGTCAGGAAACGATCAGTCTTTGGGTCTCACAACATGATATGATTCAAAGAGGGGTGAATCATAGTGCCTGCATAGTTAAGAAATACATTTTACTGAAATACATCTAGCAATTAAGTGATGTCCTTGGTCAGGGTGAGTGCTGGTCCTGTGCTGGACAGTAGCCAACTGCTTTATTTTCACTAGTTTATTTGATGAGCAGATGGGATCAATATACCAGTTCTTACTCTTACATCAACTGATAAGGTATGATTTGGTGCTGAAATCCAGCAGTTCTTTGTACTACTTTAGTTCATTTCTACAAAAAGCTAGAAAGAGAAATCAGAATTTTAATTCCAAATGAATTGAAGTATCCTATTGAAAAGAAATGTGTTTAATAATAAGGTCAAAAAGAAGTTATTGTTTCACCCCATACTGTAGAGCACTTGCTTGGTTTTATAGCATCTCTCCCAGCAAGATGTAAGGTGTTATGCCCATCTAGAGAGAGATTCTTCTCCCATCATAGAAGCATTCAGAATTGTTTCTCATATTTATTTTTAATTTCTGTGTGGCTTCTAAATTAGATTTCTCTTTCACAGTCCCAGTTCCGACTATTGAATGAGGTCATAGTCTTGAATATTTTTAATAATTATTTTTATAGTTACAAACTGTTTTGCTAATACCTGATTAGGTTGTTCCTGCCAGCAGTCATTGAAGAGCAAAGCCATGTGAAGAGCAAAAAATCTTTTTCAAATAGATTAACTCACAGTGAAGTCAAAGGCGGCATGAGTAATTACCAACAAAACCCACAAATCAATATGTCCTCTCTTTTTTTTTTTTTTTTTTTTTTTTTTTTTTTTTTG